CACAGAGGCCACGCTGCCCTTCTGTTGGACAGAAACAACCTCGCAGGACCAGCAGCGCAAGGTCGCACTGCAAGAACGATGAATTGAGACAAAACAGGACCCCTTCATAATTTTGTCTAACAGACAAAACCAAGGTCATCATGCCAGCCATAGGGTCCCAAACACTCCTCTCTCCTGGCTGAGATGAGCAACTGTGGCTTCTTTACGAATCACAGAGTGTCTGACTCTAGAAAAGTCAGACGCACCTCCTCCTAGAAAAGACTGAGCTACCCAATCACAAAATTGTCCCCACCTCCTGTGAGCACCCAATCCCGGGTAAATCCCTGCTTCCTTGAACCCTCCCCCAAATTACCCAACTGAAGCCCAAATCCTGTTAAGTTCTTTCTAACACCCCTTACGGATAGGCCCCAAAGCTCCCTTAACTTAAAAAGAGCCTCCTATTTTAACTCAGGGCTTTTATTCGCTTTCCCAAGATTAATAACTTTAAAGTTTCAAATTCATAGATGAAAAAGAAAACTTCCCACTGGCTGAAAAATAAGGCAATTCTAAAATAAAATGTCTGTCAACCTTTTTTTTTTGCGGTATGCGGGCCTCTCACTGTTGTGGCCTCTCCCATTTTGGAGCACAGGCTCCGGACATGCAGGCTCAGCGGCCATGGCTCACGGGCCTAGCCGCTCCGTGGCATGTGGGATCTTCCCGGACCCCTGCATCGGCAGGCGGACCCTCAACCACTGCGCCACCAGGAAAGCCCTCTATCAACTTTTTAATGTTTCATTTTTATTACGAATTTTACACTCAAAACACTGGAGAATAGGAAAGTGAGCTAGCCAGAGAAACACGCTGGAATGAGCTGGTCCTGTAAGGGCACAGGTGAGGCTGGCTGACACGAAATCCCAGCAGTACGAAGCCACCCTGCTGTGTGATTTCTACCACCAGTATCCCAGGTGAAAACGGAGAGTCTGGTTCAACCAGGTCTGGGTTTACTAGGATTAAGGGCAAGGGAAATAAAGCCATTGCTAAGAGAACTACTGAAGGATTGGCTATGAACTCGAAGCTCAGTTAAGAGGTAGCAGCCTACAGGGAAGTGTCTAAAGGCTGGAGAAAACCATGGAGGCCCTGAGGAGAAAGATGCTGAGGGCAGAGCAGAAACAACTGATCAAGCGTGCTGGAAAGAAGAGACTGGGGTTGAAGGGCGCTGCACTGTTCATCTGTGAGGTGGTGCATGCAGCACCAGGATGGAAATCCAGGGGATCATGGCGGGAACGGTGACAGAGGTGGATGAGCAGAGGTAATCACTGCAGATGAGGTGTTCAAGAAAATGAGTGTTCCCGCATGTACACTGGGTCCTCCACGTGCACGCTAGGATGTCAACTAGGATGATGGAAAGAACTGAGGCAGAGAGGAAGGCCTGTGGGACAGATACCCAAGTCATCAATGAATTAGGTGAATAACCAGCAGAAGGTAAAAAAGTAATGTGAAGGAGAGGATGCTGGGGACGTGGGTCTCAAAGAAATGGGGTGAGGGGACAAAGAGCAGTGAGGACAAAAATTTTGATCCTCCTGATTCTAGGATATCCAGGGTATGAGAAAACAGAGGCATGACTTGGCTTCAAGAAAAGGATATTCCCCAGGGAAGGGCCGGCGTCAATACAAAGAGAGGGACGGAATGACTAAAGAGAGGCTAAGGAAACAGAGGTGGGGGATGATTATGGAGTGGTAATTTCAGAGGGCACAGTGGGGGCTGCAAGAGGGGCGCGATCAAGGGTAAAATAGAGTGGGGAACTGACTTAGGGGCACAGCACGATGGGGAAGATAAGGAGGACTGGGGAGTGGGGTGAGTCAGCCATCCTGGTAAGTGCACTATAGATAGCTGTTGAATCAAATGGGAGTTATTAGGCATAAACCTAATATATCCAATCAGAAGCATTCTAACTGTTGGACTGTAGGAGTGATGGAGTCTGTGGTGATGACGATGATGATGATGATGATTTGGTGACAATGGGGCAGTGATGATGACAACAACTACCAACTGTGAACACCTACTGTGTGCCAAGCACTCTTGGAAGCACTCCACATTTAAGCCTCACAACAACCCTCTGAGACCGATAACAGCATTATTATCTGCAGAAAGGCTCTAAACCAAAAGGAGGGAGCAAATTAAAACAGAAATAACAGAATTGTAGGAGCCCTGGCGAGCTAATCGGCTTTTTGAACATTATTTTAGGGTTCTTACAGCTGTAACTCGTGGCGGCAGGAACTAGCATGACCCACAGCTATTTCAGTAATTTCAAACAAATAATATTCAGACTGGAGGAAAAATAAAAATAAAAATAAGAATTTATTGAAGGCTTCACTTTGTGCCAGATCCTGTGCTAACCTTTGCATGGATTATCTCATTTAATCCTCACATATAAAAGGCAAGTTACCATTATTATCCCCATTATAAAGATAAGAAAACTAAGGCAGAAAGAGAGTAACATACCCACAATTCACACAAGGAATCCCTATTGAATAAGATGACTTCCTGACAAGACTTAAAGGGTTTCATACGTTACAGTGAAGGTGCAGGTCACAGTATCAACAGAACTTGAAAGTTATTAAAACCTGCAAAATATCTTAAAACATTAACTTATGGATTCTCACCATCTCTTTGCATGTTTTTCCCAGATGAGAGAAAACCCAGTGCAAAAAAAGCTTTGATGAAATGCATCCAGATGGCAAACATGTCTGGTTTTTATGGCCCGGGAACCTATCCCAGAAGATTCTGATTCAGTGGATCTAGAGTTGGCCCTGAGTATCTGCGTTTCTTTTAAAAGCTCCAAAGGCTATGCTGGTGTGCAGTTTAGGCTGGGAACTACTGCCTTAGATTCTCTGCAGTTCCAAATCCAAACTTCCCCTATGACGTTGAGATGTCTGAAGACACCAAGGGCACTGGAAACTGAGGCAGAGAAGAGGTGAAATTATAAAAACCATCCAACAGAGAGCCAAGGAAAGGCATGCTCTGGTTATACTATTTCTCTCTACTTTTGTGTCTGAACTATTTCCTAGCTAATTTGCTTTATTTTCTTAAATTAATTTTTATTGTAGTTGATTTACAATGTTGTGTTAGTTTCTGCTGTACAGCAAAGTGAATCAGTTATACATATATATATATCTACTCTTTTTTAAGATTCTTTTCCCATACAGGTCATTACAAAGTACTGAGTAGAGTTCCCTGTGCTAGACAGTAGGTTCTTATTAGTTATCTATTTTATATATAGTACCTAATTTGCTTTATGTAGGCAAGTTGGCCAAAAATGTTACCAACAAATATTAAATGAGCCAAGTATTACCAATAAATATTAAATAAACCTAGCCCTAACGTGCTACTGAAAAGTATTTTATTTCTTTCTGGTAATTCTGATGGCACTTCTGATTCTCTTAGCAAACAGCAGTCAAATACAAGAAAAATTGCTTCTAATTCAATAATGCTACGGATGTGGTCAACAGAGATCAAAAGCTGGAGAAGAAATACAGTTGGATATAATTCATTTAAGTTCACAAATTTCACCAGGGACTGCCTTCATAATACTTATGAATGTATTTATCTATTTATTTAATCAACCACCACTAACACGTACTACACGCCAGACACTACACTAAGCGCTTTACTAATATTTAATATCATTTCATCTTTACAAGCGCCTATGAAGTGGGTATTATTTTCATCCCCACTTTACAGATCAAGAGACTGAGACACAGAGTGATTTAGTAACCTGCCCAAGTTCACGCGGCTAGTGAATGGCCCAGCTTGACAGTCTGGCTCCAGAGTCCATGCTCTGAATCACTATGCTTAGTCTCCAAGACCTACAAAAAGTTCAAGCCTTAACCCAAAACTTGTTTTCCCCACCAGGTCCCTACAAGGCCGCAGCTTCCAAGGCATTCATTCAGTTCCTCAAACAGTCCATACTCCTTCCTTGACCTGCCTGAACACCCTCCTATATCCCTCTTTTCTTTTTTTTTTTAAAGTCATCTGTTCTCAGCTCAAAAATTATCAACTAAACTTCAAACTCTAATGGCGCACTGTATTTCTCAGCATTAAACACAAAATTGTAATTATATTACTTTCTGGGTAATTATTTGCTCCGTCTTTTCCAACTAGGGGGTGAGTTCAGACACCATGTCAATCTTCTTCATGGGTTCTCAATCACTGAATACCCACCAACCAGCCAAAAGGAAGTAAGCTCTCCACAATTGGGTTTTTTTTTGTTGTTTTTGGCCGCGCCTCCAGGCTTGTGGGATCTGGGACAAGACCAGGGACTGAACCCGCGCCCTTGGCAGTGAAAGTGCAGAGTCCTAACCACTGGACCGCCACGGAACTCCCTCAATAATTTTTGTGCAATGAATGAGTGAGTGGCATACACTCAAGTCTCATGCTTTCTTTTTCATGCTTTCAGGTACATGACACATACCTGTGCTCGCAACGGCCCCCCACATAGCCCCCACTACACCCGCAAAAGTGCAGACTCCAATAGCACACAGGAAAGTTCTCTGGAAAATACTGGCTCTGCACACAAATATTATGTGACCCTGGACAGGTCATTTCCCCCCTTAACTGACCTGAGTTTCAGGTGCACAGTGGGGATCACGCCAAGTCCCAATGGAATGTAACCTACAAAAGAGGGAGAACCTGCACTTCTCCCCATAACCTATCAAAACTGTAGTAATTACTCGCTTCAAATGTGTTTCCAGCAAGACCTTGGCTCCGAGAAGGCCAAGTCCACGTCTGCCTGGTTCAGCGCCGTATCCCAGGCACGGTATCCGCGGGCTTGTACCGTGCCTGGCCCACAGCAAAAATCAGACAATTATGAGTTAAGTAGATGAATGCCTGCTCTGAGCATTTCGCAAGAGTTGACGGGTGACTTCTGGCGTAAAAGCGTATTCCTTAGACACAGGCCCGCCTCCCACCTAGGCCCCAGCCCCCCGGAGATGCCAGCCCCTAACCCCACGCCAGGCAGTCACCTCTTGCATATAGAAGCATCTTCGCAAGTGCCGCGCACGCCCTCGTCGTCCGTGTCGGTAGCGGAAGAAGAACAGGCGGTGAAAGAGGGCCTCCTCAGGCTAGTGGCCATGGGCGTGAAGGTGTCGGGGTGCTGCGTCCACCGGTGACATGGAAGCGGGGTCGACACCGGGAGAGTGAGCGAGCCCCGGACAAGGTAGTAGAGACGGACTGGGTTCTAAAAGGCTCAGCTGGCGCGTCTCAGTGACGCCGCCCACGGCGGCTGCCCCAGCAACCTTCCCACTGATTGGCTCCTTTGAGAAGACGCTCATTGGACAATTTCCCTGCCCCATCAACCCGCGGAGGTGCCCATTGGGCAACTCCTTGGCCCCGCCCATATAACCCGGAAGTACTCGGAGGGAGACCGTAAACTGAAATTGACGCAAGGGCGCACCGCAATGCTCTCCGGGAATTGTAGTCTTAGGTACTTTGAGAGGCCCCTGGGTTTCTTTCTTTCTTTCTTTCTTTTTTTTTTTTTTTTTTTTTTTTTTTTGGGTCCACAGGCCTCTCACTGTTGTGGCCTCTCCCGTTGCGGAGCACAGGCTCCGGACGCGCAGGCTCAGCAGCCATG